AAAACGAAGGTTCCTGCAACTGCCTTACTTATAGACCCATGCGTAGAAAAATATTTTTTGTTTGATCATCAGTACTGTCAACAATTAAAAGGAGCTCCAATGGGGTCACCCATATCATGCTTTCTAGCCGAAATAACCATGCAGAGGCTAGAATCAATGGCCCTTCCATCGGTTAACCCTAAGTTATGGGTACGCTATGTAGACGACGCAGTTGTTGTCGTTAAAAACGACCATCTTGAAGCACTCCATAAAACCATTAACTCAACCATCCCGGGCATTCAGTTCACGCTCGAGAAGGAGGTTACCAACAAACTCGCATTTGTCGATGTTCTCGTACGGCGAAATGCTGACGGAACATTACAAGCGTCCGTCTACCGCAAAGACACGTACGCGGAAGTTATTCTTAACTATGAGAGCAACAACCCCATCTCTCAAAAAGAAGTGCAGTCAACAGTCTGATACGACGAGCGAGAACGCACTGCTCCGACGAAGAAACCTACCGAAACGAGCTCAATTATCTGTTCGAATTGTTCTCACGCAATGTTTTCCACAGAAACTTTGTACACGCATCGTCGGAGTTTGCCTCTCCAAAAAAGGCTGAGAATTTCTTGAGGTCATGCGCTCCGAAGATTCATGCATCAACCGGCGTATCGAGTTAGCTGCAGTGGAGGAACACCTCAAAGAAAGGTGGAACAGACTGCAGCCGACAAACATGGCCCACCATGAACCGCAATTAGTGTCCACACAGGACGAGCTGGACTGACCACGGACTGACTCAAATTACAGTTGACAATTAGCCATTACACCATTGCAACTCCTAATCACGATGTGACGCAAATTGAAACTCCCAATTAAATTCCAATTAACGCCACTTCAGATGACTATATAAATGTATCAGCACTTTGAAATGCTAACTGTTCTTTGCACATTACTTCCAAGTCTGACGACGACCTGGGGCCCTAGTGTCGAAACTTTACTGAATAAACTTACTTGCTTTCCTAAAAGACGCCTTTCCTTGTATGTAATTATTTTATTCGCCTGACCTTTCTAGGTCAGTCGCGGATTCTTCATTATAGACACAGTCCGATAGTGGCGGCAGATATAGGTAGCGTGTGCACAGGGGTTTGCAGTATTTATAGGATACAGTCATTATTGCAAACATAAAACGAAAATTAACGCTAATTTCCTTCTTGCCTGTTGATATTTTTAACAGCATGCGGGCTCTGACATGTTCAATTTTCATCACGCGTAATGGAAAATCGTGAAAATTGTTCGGTCATCTGGACCTCTGGTGTTGGCGTAGTATGTAGCGGTGGCCTGTCCTCTTCCTACCTGGAGACTTGGTTGAGCCAAATTGAGTCTCAGCACCCAGTAAAGATTGGGCAAATCGCTTCACTTGTTGATGGATTGGGGTTCGTGAACCATGACTCAAGTAATTAACGGCTCACCCGATTGTCATCTCTGCTGATAATTTCGGCCTCATAAAATTTGATAGTGTAGACTTCTCGGAAGAAATTTGAATAAGGCAAAGATCACGAGTTGGGCGGTATTCAATGACATCATGAATTTCGTGACCTCTCAATCAGCTGCAAACGGTCATTGCCTATTAATAAGAGAAAGAACTGTCCAATTAAATGTCAGTCTCGAAGGTTGAAACTTGATAGGTTAAAGCAGTAGAAACGATTAGTCATAGATATGGGCGCATGGTGAGGGGTAGAGGAGGGGGAGGTAATTGTCACAGCATGGCA